TGTTATTCAGGCAACCCTGTTTGGGCAGAGTTGCCCTACCCCTTGTGGCAGGGGATGGGCTCAGTGAAAACCAGTTTTGTGGGGCTTTTCTTCTCTGTTGGCTTTCTGCATCTCTTCTGAGAGTCAGAGCAGAAGTGACATTATCCAAACCTCTGTCTCAGAACAGAGAGATCACAGTCTGATCTTCACTGAGCTCTCTAGACCACACTGTCTCCATTTTATTTTCTGATGCTAAAAACTGCAGGATCCTGGGTTGTGCACTCCACAGCAGCACTCCCAGCCCTTGCTTCCGTGTCCAGGCATATCTCTGCCCTTTGTGCTTCTAAAACCGCAAGCCACCCCCAATTCACACGCATGCCCCCAAAGCTCTAGGTTTCAGTCTGGGGGCTGCCCTAAAGTCCTTTCCCTGCTGCTACTGGTCTGCGAGCCTGTGCCAAGTCCTCAGCATGGGAGGCTTTTGCACTCCTGTGTTATTACACCTTTCCAGCTCCAACGCTTATGGCAGCTCCCTCCCCCTTCCATTTATCTTCTGATATCTGCCTGCAGAGTCACGGCTGCCTGCTTCATACCTTGAGACCAATTGCTGGAGATATTCTATTTATAGAGATCCAGATATATCTTCCTACATCTCAGGCTGATTTTATGGGTGTTCAGAATGGTCTGGTAGATATCCAGCTCAATTCAGGGGACCGGTTGAAATAGGGTCTCCTACTCCTCTGCCATCTTTTTTCTCCATTTGGTGTCCCTTGTGATGTTTTCTGTTCCTTTCTAGTTTTTGTTGCTTTTGGTCTTTTTACCCCACTCAAAGAGTCCCTTTTTATATTTCTTACAGGGCTGCTTTAGTGGTCATGGACTACTTTGTTGGTTTGTTTTTTTGTCTAGGGAAACTCTATTTCTCCTCTTCTGAATGACAGCATTTGTGGATAATGTATTCATGGCTGTATATTCCCCCATTTGACATGTTGAATATATCATTTCACTTTCTTCTGGCCTGCCAAGTTTCTGTGGACAGATCCGTTGTGAACCTCATCTGTCTTCCCTTGTACGTTAAGGACTTTTTTTCCCCCTTGCTGCTTTCAGAATTCTTTTCTTGTCTGAGTATTTTGTGAACTTGACTGTAATATGTTTTGGTGATGGCCAGCATTTGTTAAATTTAATGGGAGTACCCTGTCCTTCTTGGATTTTTTTTTTAAGATTTTTTATTTATTTATTTGAGAGAGAGAATGAGATAGAGAGAGAGCATGAGAGGGGAGAGGGTCAGAGGGAGAAGCAGACTCCCTGCTGAGCAGGGAGCCCGATGTGGGACTCAATCCTGGGACTCCAGCATCATGACCTGAGCCGAAGGCCGTCGCCTAACTAACTGAGCCACCCAGGCGCCCTGTCCTTTTTGGATTTTGATGTTTGTTTCCTTCCCCAGATCGGGGAAGTTTTCAGCTATAATTTGCTCAAATAAACCTGCTTCCCCTTTTACTCTTCTTCTTCTGCAGCACCTATAATACAATGTCATTATTCTTAAGGAGTCAATCTACAATCATGATCCATTACCTTTCTTTCCCTCTTTTTTTGTGCTTTATTATTTTCCATAATTTTATCTTCTATATTACTGATTCATTCCCCTGTTTTATCCATCCTCATTTTCATGGCATCCGTTTGGGTTTGTATCTCGGTTATAGCATTTTTCTTTTTGGCCTGACAGATTGTTTTCTCTGTGGTAACTGATTCTCTATTGTCTTCTATGCTATTTTCAAGCCCAGCTCATATCCTTATAATTCCTGTCTAAAACTGTGTTTCAGACATCTTACTTATATCTGTATTGATTAAATCCCTGGCTTTACTTCTCCCTGTTCTTTCCTTTGGCTGAATTCCTCCATCTTGTCCTTTTATCTATGTCACTGTTTTCTGTATGTGTGTGATTGTTATGAAAGCCTGTTATATTCCTGCTCCTGAGAGTAACGGCTATATTAAGAAGATGTCAAAAAAAAGGAGTGTGTTGGGGGAAGGGGTCCTATATGCAATCTGTTGTAATATTTTGGCGATTCCTACCATCACGTGAGTCCTGTGTAATTTCTCATTCCCTACAATTGGGGGTGTTTAGACCTTTTCTTCCACTGCGTGTCAAGTTTTAAGTAGGTATGTTTTGGTCTGCTTGTTAAAAGAAGCCAAATCTAAAGAAAAAAAAAAGGAAGAAGAAGCTAGATTATATTTCCTCTAGAGTGGAAGCTATGTAGCATTCTATGATCAGTAGTCTTAGTGTGTGCAAGGGATTTGTGCTGGTTTTCTGGAAGGGCCTGATGTACTGATTCTCAAGCAGACATGTACTAGTATGGATGTTCCTGCAGGGCACATGGGGTGGGCCTTGGCATATGTTGTTCCAGTCTCCCCTGGGGGGTACCGTGTTGCTCACTGAAGTGGTTATTTCTGATAGGCAAGGGGAAATGGTATCACTCTGCCCTCTTGTATCCTGCTCCCTCTGGAGCAGGAAGTTTGCACCCACCCTTCTTGAGGAAGCCCTCACAGAAAAGTAAACAATCACCCCTCTTTTGTCACCAGCTTCATCAAATCCCCGCATTCACTCTGTGTCTGAGCTGTCTACCTGCAAGGCAGCACATTACTCCTGTGTTTTATCTCAGGCAGGTGGCTGGGTTTCAAAACTCCAAACAGGCCCCACGGGGTGGAGTCATGCTGATCCGTGGTGTAGAGTCTCACTGTATTTTTGTTATTTGCAGTTTTGTCCCAGAATTGTCACCACATGACTGCACAGTGGTTTGGAGTTTATTGTGAAGCACAGCAAAATGCTGGCACCAAGGTTTGGGCCCTCAGCCAGTATCTCTGTTCCTATGCTAATGAAAAGGGCATCATATTGCCCCCACGAGTTATTTTGTCCCTGGAGAGGCTATGCCACCACTCCTAAATGCACCCCAAGAAGGGGAACTTCTTCTCCCTGTGTGACCTAGGGGATCCTCAGACCAAGCTGCCCACTCCTGGGTCTCCACCTTCCTTCCCCACAGGAGCACTGCTAAGCCTGCAAGCATGACCCTAGTGATGATACAGACCTTTAAAACCAGACTTTGTACTCCGCTGTTATAATAACTTGCAGTAGTCAGCCCCTCATTTTTTCTTGTGTAATCCCCTGCCTGCTGGGTTTTCTTGTGTAGTCCCCTGCCTGCTGCTTTCATGTCTCTCTTTCTCTCTCATTCCTCTCTCTGTGATAAGGGCTCCTTCCCTTCTATAGGAGCCACAATCCTTGTCTCCCTCAAGTCAAAACTCTGAAGCTCCTACTTTCCATGAAGTGGCCCTTTTTCTCCCTACAAATATGGCTTAACGACTGAGCCACCCAGGCACCCTGATTTTCTTAGTTTTAATTAAAGCAGAGTTTCAGGCATTTCGGCAAAATGAGCTTGTATTCTGTCTTGTATAACTGGAATAATTAATTTTGGCAAATTATTTTCGTCATGAATTTCCCACTTGCCCTAATTTTCCCACATTTTCTAAATTGTATTCTACAAACCAGTTTAATGCTAGAGGGAAAACACTTCAATATACTAGATGCCTCTTCTCCTTAGCATTTATCTATGCCCTCTAACTAAAGGCTACCAGTAAAACATCTGTAGTTAAATGAGTCAGGTATATTTCTCACTGCAATAAGGGAAAACACATATTGTAGAGAACTGTGGAGTGTCTGAGTGAAGAGATATTAGAGGTGACAGGAATGAGAACATTTTTATTTAATTATTGTTTTAATGAACTATATTTATTTACATTATTACTATTTGTTTTTATTGTTATTTTTTTATAAAGGAGTGAGAGTAATGAGCTGTGTTTAGAGGCATTTCAAGGTCACTTTTCCCTCATGAGTTTTTCAAAGGCCCTGAAATAGCTGGGGACCTTTCTCCTGCTGTTAACTTGAGGAGGGTAAAACATGTCTGTATTTTGGCTTGTCAAGATTCCTTTCTCAACCACCAGGCATCCTATGGTACATAGTCTAATTTCCACTAATATGTATTCTCTTATGCAGACAGCATCCCAGAGGAGTTCTTTCTCATGGACCATATTCTAGCCTTCAGGAATCATGAGATCTTCACCCTGAAAAGCTCTCAGTGCACAGGTCATGCAATACAGCACTCCTCCATCACACCACAGAGTAGCCAGTGGCCCTTCTCTCACTCTCAACATCCCAGGGAGAAGGCAAACATAGGTCCACTGTGTTCTTTAGATTTCATGAAACAGACTAACTAACGTTTTTTCCCATATGTTTTAAGTGAGGCATAAGCAAGCATGCCATCTCCCAGTCTTCTGGGACAGTAACTCAGAACACACCTACAGATATTTTCCAAAACCTCCATATACTCTCTTGACTCTATTAAATATTCCATGCCCATGAGCAGGTAGATTCTTATAACCAGATTTAGGCCACCTCCTTTAAAATAGCCTATGATGATGGGTTTGATATTCATTTGGAATAGTTCACTTAGTATTATTATTATTGTTATTATTATTATTTTGTTCAATGATTTCATTTTAATTTTAATATTAAATATTTGTTATAATATGCCCAAATGGTCTGTTAGTGGCACAAAAAAAATCCATTTCAGCTCCGCTTGTCATGTGACTTCAGCTACTTACCTCCGCAACTTCATTTAAAACCATTTTGTTTCAACTTAATCTGTGTCCCATAGGTCTTCTACTTTCTCACCCAGGCCCACTCTTACTGCACATCATTATTTCTTGAATTAATTTTCCTTCACCACTTCCACAAGTAGATACATCTTTTAGATATTTTATTTATGTTGTGTGCCTTGAATTGTAATCAAGTAAATTCTACAGCATGCAATTCCAATCAAATTACTCTTGTCCATTAACAAAAGTACATATTTGGGACTGAAATGATAAAGAAATGTATACTTTATGGCATTGGTGTTTAGATTTATTTGAAGGAGGAAATCCAGCATTCTAATATATATCTTCCAGTTTCAACAGATTCAGAATAAGACATTTCTTCCTCAGTCACATGCAACATCTTCCTGTGGCTTGTTTGTACACCTTAATGTCATAATGGTCAGAGGTTGTTCATTTTGACCATTGTAGAGGGGGCCAGGGTAAAAGTATGGTCGTAAGGCCTCCGTGAACTTTTGTTTGTAGGTGTAGATGTGAGTCATGTTGGTCACATTATAAAATGAGAGCCTCCCAGCCTCATAGTCCAGGAAGATTCCAATTATCTCAGGAGGTTCCTCAAGATGGAGTGTTATCCGTGGATTTGTAAGAGCTTGGTAGTCATTACATTTTTTTAAGCACAGTGTCCAGAACCCAGTCTCTGGGGACACTGTGATTTCTCCTTGTCTGCGGACAGAATGTTTACAAATGCCTACAGTCCATTTCATTTTATTTTTCACATCCACTTCCCAGTAGTGTTTATTGCTGGAAAAAATTTGCTGACCTAATACAGAGACTAGGGAATCAAACCGATTACTACTTTTGGGTAGTTCCTGAAGATGAGCAATGGATTTCACACTTTTCTTGTCTTTGGCAACTTCAAGATATGGATGAGCTGTCTCGGGATCCAGGGTAACATTTTCTATGGAAGAACATGTTGTCAGTCTTGGCCGTGATCAATAATAATCCACAATAATTAACACAATGTACAAGTGCCCTTCTTCTGTCTAGGAACTTTTTTTAGCTTTCCTCAAATGAAGCTGCTCCTTTCCCTTGAGTCATCTTTTTTCTACCACCTCTATTTATCAACTCACACACTTGAGAACTTGTTAATTTGTTCAGAATGGGAAATAAATGAGTACCTAAATATACATATTTTTTTGTAGTCCAAATATTTTTTTTGCAAATGGCAATATTACATTGGACACATTATGTGCCTAGTGCTATTTGAAGCACATTTATAAATACTGAATTTTCATAACAAAGAAATAAAATGGAGAAATGTTTTTATGTCGCTGAGACAACAAAGATTTAGAGAAATTTGTCCAACTAGGATTACTAATATCCATCAACATTTGGATTCAAGTCCATAGCTATCTAATTCAATTTATGAATTAATGAAAAATTAATTATATATATTTACTTTAAATCTGAATGTTTTGACAATTCAAACTCTGCTCTAATGAACTCTTTATTATCTAATGAAATGTAACTATATTTACTGAAAATAATTTTTCTATATGTGCCTTTATATAGGTAAAAATTTTCACAGATATATGAATCCAAAAAAATTGTTTAAATGTTGGAAACATATAACACACAAGCCTGAGATAATAATCACCTAGATATCTACTTAATTACACAGGATTCTGCTAATATAGGCTATAAGTGTTTCTCCTATGAATTAGTAGTTGTAGGTAAAACTAAATTTTACTTGTGTAGGTATAAACACAAAGAAAATTCTGCTAGTATTAAAGTAATATTCAATAACTGAAGACTCATATGTTAGCACTGTAAATATGGGAATATGTTCCCTTAAAGCTGCTGCAACTCATTTGCTCATAGACATTTTTGTCAAAGTAATATCTGATATATAAACTATTTTATTCAACTGGCAAAAGTTCTTGTAAAGTTGTCTAGTGAATGTGAATATTATGTTAATTAGTTATATAAACCAGAGAAATCTATGAATACTATCATATATTACTATGAATAATACTATGAATACTCATCATATATTTCTTTATAAAACAGTATATTAATACCTGACTTCTTGTGGAAATCAAATGAAGATACTTCATTTGAACTAATTAATACAAAGCTGTAAAATGTAACATAAATTGCTATTGTTCCCAATATTAAACCAAGTCATAAATTTGACAATTAGCAGTCAAAAGATGCCCTGAGGGAGGTTTTCGATTTGACAAATCAAATGAAGGTCCATGGATTTTGATCCATAGGCAATTAGTGTCATTGTGTCACTAGGTAAGTGGCAGCTTACCTTTACCCCATTCCCTGTCAGCTACCCCCATAACCATCCCTCATTTCTGGTTCTGAAAAGCATGTTGATGGTATCATTTTGGGTTATAATATTCTACTTCCCTCCATCAATGAATCTCAGAGAGCAGCATCATTTGTGATATATAAGGAGCTATAGCTATAAACTACTCAACAATAAGCACAATAAAATGGGAGTTTTGGCAAAAAAAAATGTGTGTGAGTGTGTGTGTGTGTTCTCTATGAGTTTGTGAGTGTGTTACAGGTTCCCTTCTCTGGTGGCCCAATAAGCTGGCTAAAAATAACAATCCATATCCAAGTACTTCAGTCTCTAATTACCTGCATATCTTCGAGCAAATTCCAACCCTAAAATTAAAAAAAAAAGGAAAAGAAAATTATAGTTTTGAAACCAAGATTTAGCAGTGAGTAAAACAACAATGATGTGCAGTCAAAAGGCAGGTGCATAGGTCAGGGCTAGAGCTGGCCATCTTCATTACTCACTTTCTTTTCCCAGGAGTTTTATCCTTTCTGAAAGAATAGGATGTAGTGAGAGTTTGCTTTGAAACATAATTACTATTTTATCCTCCCAGAGAAATATTACTTACCAAGTTCTTCATGAAGCTTTCCTGAAAAGAAAAACAGTGAAAAATCCTTGTGAGAAGTTGGCTAGGAGTTGTTAACTAGACTTTCTAATGTTTACACATGTAAATCATTTGGGAAAAAAAAAAGACTATGGCTGGATTTAAGTTACATATTTGGAAAATAATGGTTTAAAGCCTTTTGGTTGGCTTTGCTTTAACATAATTCAAAGTATCATAATACAAATTTTGATGAAAATTTGAGAGAAATTTGAAAGAGAAATAGACTCTCCCAGGTGTTTGCATTAAGCACATGGACTCCTGCAGGCTGCCTTCACCAAAAATCATAAATTTAAGAACCAAGCACTGAAAGCACCAATGAGGTTTGGATATAATTTCTGTTTCTCTGCACCTGAAGAATTAAAAACTAAATGCACTTAGTTCTGCTATAATGATTGTTTTGAAAATGTAAATTTGTTGTAATTTGATTAACATATTAGGAAAGAATTTGAGTACATTGTGAATTTTGCATTTTCTATATGTGATTTTGTGCTATGGAAATTTGTACCTTGTTGAATCTAGAGGTGTAGATATACATAAAATATATAAACACACACACACAAATACAAACACATATAGGCACACATCTCAGGACAATGACATACACCCATCCATAATTGTTACTGCAACTTCCCACACTGCCACTTCACAGGGACTATAAGCCACCACCCTCACCAATGGTGCACAGCTCCGTGCCCTTTTTTTCTTTGTTTTTTATCCATATTTCTTTGCTGCTCTTTTTCTCTCTTTGTTTCTGGTTTCTCTCAATTGTCTATTTATTTTATTCTCTTCCTTTGCACAAGTTGTTGGGCATGGAGGTGGAAGTAGGGAAAGTACCTGGACCCACATGTAAACTTCAAGACTCTTTCATGATCACATTCCATATTATTGTAGTGTTTAGGTATTTCCTAACAATTTCACGAGTATGAAATTCTGTAACCATTTTACTAGGTGTTATTTTTTAAAAATATGGCACCAAGGAAGTATTTGACTACCATGCCTTTAATGTCATGTTATGGACTGATTCTTTTTCTACAAAATTGATATGTTAAATTCTTAATCCCCAATGTAATATTAGGAATTGGAGGTTTTGAAAAGTAATTTGGTCATGACAGCGGAGCCCTCATGAATAGGATTAGTGCTCTTATAGGAAGAGACATGAGCACTTGTTCTTGTTCTCAGCTTTCTGCCATGTGAGAACAGAGTGAGAACATGGCCATATGCAAACCAGGAAGTGGACTCTCAGACACCAGATCTGCGAATGCCTTGACCTTGGATTTCCCAGCTTCTAGAACTGTGAGAAAAATCAACAAATGAAATGACATCATTCTGAATGGGAGAAAATATTTGCAAATCATGATAAAAGAGTTAATATCCAAAATATATAAAGAACATATACAACTCAATAGCAAAAAGCAAACAATCTGATTAAAGAATGGGCAGTGGAAATGCATAAACATTTTTCCATAGAAGACGTGCAAATGCCCTAAAGAACAACAGGCACGTGAAAGATGATCAACACTATATATATATATCTCCACAAGGAACATTTATTACATTTTATTCATAACATCCCTAATTTAATTGCAAAAAAATTCCTACTTATCTAGCACATTTTTATTGAGGGTCTTCTTCAGACTAAGATCTATTTTCATTGTGATAAATATGACAGAGTCTCTCTACCCACAGAGGCATTGACAAGTGGCCTGCCTATTGAAACAACATTATATATTATATATATTACATCTTATATAGTATGTCTTATATGTTATATTATTTTATATATATCATATATAATGTTTGTTATTTAGCTATAGAAAAAAAGGAAATTACACGGTGACCACATGTATGGAAATGAAATGTGAAGGCATTATACTAAGTGAGGTAAGTCAGAAAGAGAAATAAAAATGCAGTGTGATATCACATATGTGAAATTTAAAAAAATAACAACTGAAGTCATAGAAAGAGAGAATAGAATGTTGATTACCAGAGGCTAGGGGTGGGGGGAATCAGAGATGTGGGTCAAAGTGTAAAAACTCACAACCAAGTCTTTTGCACAGCACAGTGATTGTAGCCAACATTTCAGTATTATAAACTGAAATGCTGAGATGAAGTTGCTGAGATGATAGATCTTAATTGTTCTCACTCAACAAATGAATTATAACTATAAACATTATGGAGGTGTTAGCTGATGCTATGATGGTAATTGTATTGCAATACATTAATGTACCAAATCAACATGTTGTACACCTTAAACATACATAATGTAATATGGCAATTATATTTCAATAAAAATATAAGGCAAATAAGCAATTATTTTATTTTATTAATGTTATAAGGAACTACCTCCAGGTTGTTAAGGGACTAGATATTAAATGCCCTCGCCACAAAAAAGAAATGATAATTATGTGATGTGATATTGATGTGACAGGTATTAGCTAATATTAATTTGGTCATCATATTGCAAAATAAAAATGTATTAAATAAAAAATAAAAATAAATTAGAATTTTTATTGAGATGAGCTTTGTCAGATACCTTACTGAGTATATAATGTTTAATATGTGTACAATAGAGTGTTCAGTATGTACTTGTGATTGATATGTGAGTTAAGAATATTTAGCATCCAGTTAACAGAATTCTTTCCTTTGCAAATTTCTGCATTTACTAGAAAATAAAGTTAATTTATTTTAAATATGGTCTACCATTAACATGCATGCATATCATGCATTCACCTGCATCAAAATGGTTATTTTATTTAATGCAGAGAACAAAACACTATCTTAAGAAAATCGTAACAGTAATTATGTATCATTTTTCCCATTGAATTTTATAATGTACTCAAGATTTATCATTTAATGTTTTTTAGGTGTGTTAGCAGAAGAATATAGATACCACAATAGAAATCACAGTCATGTAAACTAAGGAAGAAATTTACATTCAAATTATGGCATAGAGTTTTAAATGATATAAATATTTATATAGAAATGTCATGCAGTTAAAGAAATAGCAATGATGTCAATAGATAATAATATTTTATTTTATTTTTTTTGATAATATTATTTTAAACTAGAGTATCCTGGCAATCAGCTAAAGATGGTTCAAAATATGAACAGAGTTTTCTCAAACTATAACAAAATTATATCTACCAGGTGTGATCTGTGTGATATCAAGAAAGTAACTTAAATTAGTATGACACTGTTATGTATAACATGATGGATAAATGAGATAATGTGAAAAAAAAATATATCCAAAATTTTGCTTTCAGCAACTGGTATTTAATTTATCTGACATGTCTGCAAGCAACATTTATTACATTTTATTCATGACATTCTTCATTTAATTGCCAAAACTTCCTACTTATCCTGTACATTTTTATTGAGGGTATTCTTCAGACCAAGATATATTTTCACTGTGATGAGTATGACAGTCTCCACCCACAGAAGCAAAGGCAAGCAGCCTGCCAATTCAAACACCATTCTAGAATCAAGGTGCTTTAAGAGAACAAGAAGGGTCACCAGAGGTATTGCTGCTGACATTGACAAGGATTATTTTCTTTGTCCTTAATTAAAAACATCATTTGTTACAAAAATAATATGTGTTAATATATTTTAAAAAAATAGGAAAATATCACGTCAGATTTCCTTTTTTTTGAAAGATTTTATTTATTTATTTGAAAGAGAGAGAATGAGAGAGAGAGAGCACATGAGAGGGGGTAGGGTCAGAGGGAGAAGCAGACTCCCTGCTGAGCAGGGAGCCCGATGCGGGGCTTGATCCCAGGACTCCAGGATCATGACCTGAGCTGAAGGCAGTCGTTTAACCAACTGAGCCACCCAGCCACCCCGTCACATCAGGTTTCCATTACCTAACTGCAATACCTTTAAAAAAAACCTTCCATGATATATGCAACTAATGAATCACTGAAAATTACATCAAAAACTAATGATGTACTATACAGTGGCTAACTGAACATATAAAAAAAAAATTCCAGACAAATAAAAGTTAAAGAAGTTCATCCCCACTTACAAGTCCTTACAAGAAGTGTTAGAGGGACTTTTAAGTTTAAAAAAAAAAAAAAGGCGATAATTGGAAGGAAGAAAATTGTAAAGGGAAAAAAAAATAAGTAAAAAAAAAAACACAGCAAAGGTAATAGAGCAATCCTTATAAAGCTAGTACAAAGGTTAAAACACAAAAGTATTACACCAATTATATCTTTTTTTTGATGTAGTGTTCAAAGATTCATTAGTTGCATATAACATCCAGTACTCATCACAACATGTGTCCTCCTTAATACCATCACCCATTTATCCCATCCCCACTCCCCTCCCTTCTGTAACCCTCATTTTTTTCCACAGATTCCAGAGTCTGTCATGGTTTGTCTCCCGCTCTGATTTCTTGTATCTAAAAAAAATTTGTCAAGGGGACTCACAAAATGAAAAAGATGTAGAATATGACAACATATAAAAAAGATAGAGGGTGTGAAGAAAAATGAGGTTCTTTTAAAATGTATTTGAACTTAAGTGATAATCACTTATTTAACTGCTATATACTTAATATGTTATGTATTAGCCTTATGGTAACACAAACCATAAACTTATAATAGATACACAAAATATAAAGAAATAGCCAAAAAATAACATTAAAGACAGCAATCAAACATGAAGAAAGAGAGCAAGGGAAGAAACTAAGAAGGATTATAAATCAAACAGAAAACAAATAACAAAATGACAATAAATATGTACCTATCAATAATTATTTTAAATAGAAATTTTCAAAAAATTTCAACCATAAGTTGTAGGATGATGGAATGGATTTAAAAAAAAAGACACTTTTTATGCTACCTACAGGAGACTTGCTTTAGACCTAAAGACATGTAAAGATTAAAAGTGAGGGTATGAAAAGGCATTTACCATGCAAATGGAAGTGAAAGAAAAAATGGGGTAGCAATACTTATATCATACAAAATAGACATTAAAACAAAGACTATAACAAGAGACAAAGAAGGGCAGTACATAATGATAAAAGGATGGAATCTAAAAAGAGGATATAAGAATTATAAATATTGATGCATTCAATATTGGAGCACCTAAATATATAAACCAAATATTACTAAATATAAACGGAGACATTGCTAGTAATACAATAATAGTAGAGGAACTTAGTACCTCACTTACCTCAATGGATAGATCAGACAGACAGAAAAATCCATGAATAATCAATGTCTTTGACTGGCACATTAAACCCAATGGACTTACCAGATTTATGCATAACATTTTACCAAAAAATAACAGAACAAACATTCTTTTCAAGTGCACAAAGAACATTCTCCAGGAGAGATGACATTTAAAGCCAAAAATAACCACACCAAAACAAAACAACAAACCTCTCAATAAATGTAAGAAGATTGCAATCATATTAAGCATTTTTCCAACCAAAACAGTAAGAAACTAAAAATCATTTGCAAGAAAAACTGGAAAAAACACAAACATGAGGAGGCTAAACAACATGTTACTACATAACAAATGGGCCATCAAAGAAATCAAAGAGGAAATAAGAACATACATGGAGACAAATGAAAAAAACAAAACAAAACAAAACAAAACAAAACAAAACAAAAAAAACTCTCCGAAGGAGTTCTAAGAGGAAAATTTATAGTTACAGATGCTTACACGAAGAATCAAGAAATCGCTAATAAATCTAAACTTTCACCTAAAAGAACTAGAAAAAGAAGAAGAAACAAAGTTATTGGAAGGAAGAAAATAATAAAAATCAGAGTAGAAATAAATAAAATAGAGACAGATAAATAGAAAAGATCAACGAAACCAAGATCAGTGTCTTTTTTTTAAAGACTTTATTTATTTATTTGAGAGAGAGAGAATGAAGAGAGAGAGCACATGAGAGGGTGGAGGGTCAGAGGGAGAAGCAGACTCCCTGCTGAGCAGGGAGCCCAATGTGGGACTCAATCCTGGAACTCCAGGATCATGACCTGAGCCAAAGGCTGTCGCTTAACCAACTGAGCCACCCAGGTGCCCAAGATCAGTGTCTTTGAAAAGCTAAACAATATTAATAAACGTTTAGGAACTTAAAAAAGTGAGAGATGACCCAAATCAATGATATTAGAAAAGAAAGAGGAAGAATAGAAACCAATGCCACAGAATAAAAAGGATTGCAGTAGGCCCCAATGAAAAAATAAACACCAACAAATTGGACAAATTAGAAGAAATGGTTAAATTCCCAGAAATATAAAATTTTCCAAAAATGAAAAAGAAACAGAAAATCTGGCCAGTCCAATTCCA